ATCAGACAGACTTTAAGAAAGCTGCCAGACTTATTTTAATTTTTCAAACGGCATCCCCCTAAAATATAGCGCTCTCAGCTAGACGTGGACTACACCGAGCAATAGCTGAGGCAAATTAAACTGTCCAATTTCCTCGCATTGTGTCCGAGCTTTGACATGATTCGCAGACAATGGAAAGTAACAAGCTCTACAATGTTTAATCAGGTACAGCCTCCTGAAATGACAGTATCCCTGGATAAACAACTGTCCAATCGTAACATGATCTCCAGCTCACGCAGTGCATGGGAAAGTACTTTACTTAATGGAAGGGCTTCGATAACGGGCACATTTTTGTTTGAATTCAAGTGCAGAAAACATTTTTTGTATTCTTATACTGCTGTGCTCTGGTGAATGTGTTAAATCAAGCCTGTAAGTTGTCCATGTAAATATGTCATCCACCAGGGAACCTGGCAGTAGTTGTCATTGTGAAAGCCATCGGCCTCAGTCTTGGAACATTAATTTGGGGATCCTTCTCTCTGCTGATGGGCTGGGCCAGTTCAAGGTTAGTCAGAGTGATCTATGGTGATCTGCCTTCCTGGAGTATTCCTTTCTTGATCCCTTGTGAATAACCTATCACAGGGAAAATGGCCCTTTTCTGAGTCATTGAAATTGACTGATTGACATTGATTCAAACTTTGTACGGCAATAATTGTCCTAGGAATGTCTTGCAGATTTGGCTGGTTTGAAAACACTGCTCAAGAGGTTTCTAAGCCTATATTGAATTACTGTGGAGCTGCATTGTGTCTTCTGAGGTGAACAGATACGGTGTTTATTCTCTCAGTGATTGAGTAACAAGGTCAAAAATTACATTGTTCTCTATAAAAAAATTGTTTTGAAGGACATGCTTTCTGTGTTTCTCCAGCGGCCTGATCGTGTTCTTTGTGAAAGCAGATGTGGAGCTGCATCCTAATGATGAATCCATTCCATTACTCATCGACAGAGTGAGTCAATTATTGGTTGATCATTTTAAACCAGATTTTTACTCAAAAATCAAATCTGGCAGTAAAATGTGCAGTACAGTCAGTTCATCCTTAGCCCTGTTTTCTTCTGTGCCCCTCCCCCCCCCCCCCCCACACACACACACACAGAGAATACATTCAGGCAGCTACGGACCACGTTCCTCAGAGTTCTGGATAGATGTCATCGGACCAAAGATGAGACGGTTCATGTAAGCTCCACTCATTAACAGTCAGTGAGATGGCTTGACAAAAATGTTTGCTGCATCACAAAAACCAAAATGAATCAATTCCAGTATAGAACCTTGGTCTTTTATTAGCAGCGGTCCTTTTTTGAATGTGCTTTCTCTAGTATTGATTTAAAACTGTGTGAATGAAGCTGTGTTATACACATGGATTTTAAAATATTTTTCTCCTTTCGTGTTTTGTCCAAACTTTGGAGGTTATATATAGTCGAGTGAAAGAAACAGAAGGATTTTAAGAATCTGGATATAGTTCCCAATAAGGGAGGACCCCAGCGTGTTGGTTTGGTTTTTTTGATGTGATGGAATATACTATATGTGGTTCATTCATGGGTTGAACCTTAAAATAACTGCTTCCCAATCAGTCTGATGGCTCACTGACTTGTATTGTAATATAGAAAATTGTGCTGCTTCTCTTCTTCTTGCTGTGTTCCATGAACCTTTGTCCTTGTACTATTTTGGTCAGTGTGTGGGAGCGCTAAAAGATGTGTCATTAAATGACGGTCAAAATTAGGCCTAGTAGTTTTTCTGCAGACATCCACTAATGGGCAAAGTTGTTAGGCATTCAATCTTCAGAGCACATTGCCAATTAAAGAAAAAAAAAGGAAGTGAGAAACTAACAGTTTACAGCACATTAGATGGTGTCAAAAACAGCCATTGAAAAAATGAAAAACACAAAGTGCACGTCATGGATCGAAGCTTGACAATAGCAGCAAAAGTAATGATTGAACAACGACAGTTTTAAAAAAAATAGTAAGAAACAGAAAAATGTTACCCTAACGTTTGAAATGGTTAACCTGGCAAAAGATACCCTATATAGATATATTTGCTGAATTTGGATTTAAGACTCATCAGTAAAACTAAGTGAAGCCTTGGAAAAACAATGCAGAAAACAAACCTCCCTTAAAACAATATAAACAAACTTTTCAGTAGGAAGAAAATGAGATTTGTGGATTCATTCTTTATTTTTCTTTGGTTAGATTAGTCTTCTTTAAAAAACTGTTCCTCACCCTGTGCTTTATCTTCATCAGAGGCTGCACACTGGCCATCATTTCAGGTCTTCTCTTTGGTTGCACCTTCACACCCATCTCCTACATTAAGAGCCGTTCATCTTGTGAAGACAGTGTCTATTATGGAGCCAGCAACTACGGTATGGAACATAATTTGTGGGGTGGGTCGGGTGTGTGTGGGGTGGGTCGGGTGTTTCTAAATTAATTTTATTTTAAAAAAGTCTTTATCTGAAGTGTAGTGTAATAAACAGCAGGCGTCTTTGGAGTGTTATTTTACAGTGTTTAAATATGAATGACGTGTTTACTGTTTAAACAATTTAACCTTTAACTGCAAACACGTGCCAATAATGAAAACAAACTGTTGTTTTCCATGCTGATTACTCCACAGAACTGGACTACGTATACGCCGAGAATTGTGGTATTTTTCTTACAAGCACCGTCTACTTTGTCATCTACTGTGCTGCCATGAGAAACAGACCCAGAGTTTATTCCAGAGTCGTTCTCCCAGGTAACATTATATGTTTTTCTTGCATAGTATGAGATATGTTGATAATTTATCATAAATGCTGTGTATGCATTTTCTCAGCACAACTTATAAATGGCCCTATATGATTTATGGTCTCCATAAACTGTATAATAACTTATTCAGTAGTTGGAAAGATGGGGGGGGTGGCACAAAAGGGGTGGACATGAGTAGATGGTCTATGTTGAGGGAAATGCCAGGTTTTGCATTGACACTGTTGAATGCAGCGTGCAATCTCTATTTGGTAATTTTATAAATGAGCTTTTATAAGTAGCTTTTTTTTTAGTGTTTCAGTTCAACATCCACATGTGTACAGTATATATTTATTGGTGCTGTCCAAGGGTTTAGGTCAAACACTTATTTTTGTCATACCTGGAGCCCTTGACATTTCCAAAGATCATGTTGTGATCCATTTAGAAAATTGGCACCTTTTGCCACAGATGGAGGTTGTTCTGTTTTCTCACAACTTCAGCCACAATAATGCTCATCCACAGTTATGTATGTATTGGAGGGGACATTGTGGCTGAGACTTAACTATTTGTCAGTGGTGCAAAGTAAAAGTCACTCACGCTGTTGGCACAGAGCTGGCATGTGGCCTGTAATCCATTTGAGCTCAGACAGGGATTTTGAACATTGGCTGACGACACAATAAAACACTCTCACCAGCTGATTGGTTTTGACCACCCCACCTCACTGCTCCCTTCTCTCTATCCCCCTCTCTCTGCAAACCACTGAGCTGTCAATACACCTCATAATAGCTTCGCTCTGTCATATGTCAAGAATCGGCTGTTGTGAACACCAATAAACACCAGCTTCAGTTTCTGCAAGATCAAATGCATCCACTCAAGGAATGTCGAATGTCAAACTCACAGGTGTATCAAACCTACCTCACCACTTTGGCTCAGTCCACCTTATGTGACTCTGCCTATGTACTTCCCAGAAGTATTGTTTTTTTTTTAACCTGTCGAGTCCAGCAATTTGGACAAATACTGAGAGGTTGGGAATGTCTGTGTAGTGACAAGTCGATTTGTTATTATTTATTTTCTCTTACTGTTTTCGTCTGCAACAACACTGAGCATGGTGAGGGACCGGAGTTGACAGCAGGGCAGAAAGAGAGAGACAAGCTTAAAACGTATAGATTTTTGTTTACCAGGAAAATCCCAGTGTTACAGTGATATGTAATCCTAAAGTTAACATATTCGCACTGATGACTACGACACATTTATTGAGATATTAGTCCTAATTGTTACTGATGATTGGTGGAGTAGGTGCACATTAGCCTTTGTCTTTTTTTCAGTACATCAGTTCACTTTATATGTTTTTTGTTTTTTTGTTTGTTTTTTTCAGCTCTGTGTTCTGGGTTGATGTGGGCATTAGCTACGTACTGCTGGTTTATGGCCAATAACTACCTAAGCGCTGTCATTACCTTCCCCATAGTGACTGCGGTGAGTAAAGCTGGTTCATAAACTAAGTCATATATATATATATATATATGCGCATTCAAAACAAGTCTTATGCATTGTTACAATCAGTAACTGAAACGATTTGTTTGGACTTCTGTTTTCTATTTGGTCTAATGAGAGTGAAGATGAAAAACTACCAAAGGTCAGAGAAGGGCTTGTGAGGGTTGTTGTGATTATTGTGACAGTCGTTTTTCCGAAAATCTATCCATTTATCTCCACCTAGAGGTTAATTTCCCACAAGAACATGTGCAAGGTCAGTTCAGTGGAGTTTAGAAGAAAATGTCAAGCAACATACAAAAGCAATAAAATTAATCATCTGGAAAATACAGAAATTGTGCAATAATGAGGTTTTGACAGGAGCTTCTGTTGAGAGTTGGAGAATGAAAGTTTATGGTGTAAACAAAAAGGTGACGGGGTTGCCAAAACTCATCAACGGCCATTTTCCCCTCTGAGCCAATTTCAAAGGCAATTTATACCGAGGATGTTCAGACATATTGCTCTGGACTTGGTTTGATGTAGAAGCAGTAGTGGGATTCGTCATATGGCACATTGTTTACCATACATTGTTGAACAACTATAAGCAGTTTTGAAAATTCTTCTTTTCTTCTACAGACATTCAACCTATTTCAGTATCATCAGTTCCAGTACTTTATTCAAATATTTGTACTGAAAATGTTAAAAAATATTTTTACTACAACCAGCACCCATGAAGCAAGGTTGTGTTGTTCTGCTTCAATTCTGTGTCTTCATGGTTAATTTATTTTAGTAAGTCAACAAGGTCAGTTTGGAGGTATTGTAACATCAGGAATGAAGACGACAGCAGGGTTCACTTTAGGATGTTCTGTTACAATACAAGCAATTCAATTAAAAAAGGATGGAATTTGTGTGTATATATGTATATACAAATATCTTTTAAATTTTTTTTAATTAAATTAATAAAATGAGTAGTTGAAAAAAGGTCAGTCATCTACCTCTCTTTCTTCTCATCAACCACAACCCCCAAATTTTTTTTTTTTTCCTTTTTTAAAAAATGTGGGGGGGGTTTTTTTTTTTTTTTTTTTTTTTTGCCTTTTTATAAAGTAATCCAAGGTACAAGTTGTAAAGTTAAACTTTAAAGGTTCTTCAAAGTAGAAGCGTGGACTGAAAAATAACATGGATCAGTGCACATCTTCTCGAACATAATCACTTCTCGAACATAATCACCTCTCGCTGTGTCTCCTCTGTAGGGATACGGCCTGGTGGCAGGATTGTGGGGAGCAGTGGTTTTTAAGGAGGTTAAGGTACGACATCCCAGAAGTATTTTGTTTTTTTTTTTTTGGTTTTTTTTTGTTTTTGTTTTTTTTTTTTTTTTTTTTTTATGTATTTATCATACAGAGTCGTGACTTTGGGTTTCCCTAATGGTATATCATTGTTGAAGAAGCTGTCCTCTTAACAACAATGGTTGAAAGGTGAAATCATGTGACTCAATAGATTGCATATCTGTTCTTCTTGAGACAGCACTTATTTAAGCTGTGATTGAAATATTTTACAAGTATCTTAAAAGTCTTGTTTAGAAATCTTGTCCAAAAACCCACTCATTGTCTCTACTTTATCTCTTGGGCAGTGAACAGACTTGAATGGTGTGTAGCCCAGGATCTAGATCGTGCACTTGTACTTGTACGTCAAATGTATTGATCCCACTGCCACAGTTTGGAGTGCAATTATAAAGTCTGAAGATAAGTGTGCAGAAACCCAGGTCTGCTTCATCCACGTACAGGCAGAGTTTATCAAGCATACAATGTCTGCCTGCAATATGGGATTAAAACTGTCAGCTCGAGGAAGAATGTAAGCAATGTTTAAAACATTTTTTTTTTTTCTCCTCAGGGCTGGGCGAACGGCCTCATCTTCTTTGTGGCCACCTGTGTGGTCCTCACCGGCTCTGTGCTCACCGCGATCTCAAAGCTCTAATGCTACAAGAGCTTGTCAATCAAGAACATCTAATGCTTCCTCCCTCATTTCCATCGGCCCACTCGGAGAACGTCCTTGGGATTGAGTGAGCATTTTGAATTCAGTCAGATTATGAAATCCCATCAACAGTGTTTGCACTCTCACTGGAACAATGTGATTATACTTTGTGATTGACTTTGATTATGGTAATTAAATACAGGCACTTGTTATCAAAAAAGTTTTTCCTAAATGCTGCACTTTTTACTTTGCACAGATTTGAAGATTGTGTGTCACTGATGCAATAAAACCAACATTTAATATCGTCCAATGTTTTTGTTTTGCCTTAAGGGAAGTTTCATCTTGCATGATACACTTCAATATTACTGTCGTGCTTCACGGAGAACTCTGACATGTATTATGAATCTTTACTCTGGCCTTGGCTCCCACTGGTTTAGTGCGTGTGCAGTGATGTAATATTAAAATATAGCGATACTAAGGCTATACTGTAGCTCTGACCTCATTTGGATGATGTATCTCCATATGGAAAATAAAAAAATTATAGGGTAATTATATAGGGTTGCTACTAGACTAGTTGCCAACAACCCACATACTTGTGATTTAATTTACTGAACCAAGCTGAGTGTTTTTAAAGGCTCAGGAAACCCTTGCAGGTGTTTTGAGTTAATTAGACGACTCAAGTGATTGGTTGACTAGCCCACTGGTATACTTTTTGGTGATATTCTAATTTTTTGAGATAGGATTTTTGAGTTTTCTCAAGCTCTAAGCCATAATCAGCAATATTAAAATAATAAAAGGCTTGCAATATTTCAGTTGATTTGTAATGAATCCAGGATGTATGGCATTTTTGTTTTTTTAATTGCATTAAAGAAAATAATGAACTTTATCACAATATTCTAATTTTCTGAGACAGTCCTGTATATGTATATATAAAATTATTATCACCAGAAAATTTGCATGATTTTTTTTTTTAATAATCTTAAAAACAAGCATTTGGAGTTGCTCACAGCACTTTGGATCAGAAACTCAAAAATTAGTAACATGGCCTTTTAAACGTTTTATTCAAAGCTGTACATTTTTAGATCCCTAAACTCTAGGGACCCTGGTCTGTTCAGGATACCTGGAGCTAATGCTTAACCTTGACCTGATTTTTGTCCTGTGTTCGAGTCCACAGAGCACATCGTTGTGTGGGAGCTGACAATCCCATGGGATTGAAAGTGATCCGTCCTTGGTAGCTGAATATCCATGGACTCCAGCAGATGTCAGAAAACAGAGGTCAGTGCCAGATTGGGGAGGAGAGGGGGGGGGGGGGGGGGGGGGGGGGGGGGGGGGGTTAAGTCGGGGGTTTAAACCTTCTGAGATTTGAGGAAGTGGCAGGACAGACATCCAAAGGATCATGAAAGCATGAATATCTGTCAATCAGAAATGTACTCCCTCTTCTTTACAGTTGTTATCTACAGTATGAGGTCAGTCTTTGCTTTGTGGTGTCAAATGTAGAATGCTGTGAGACGTGGAACACCTACTGTCTTCACTTGTATCCCTGAATACTTCCCCACCTGTTGTTACGTACTCCATGAATAAAAACATTACAGCTGCCACGTAGCAGCAAACCTGGCCTGAGGAAATCTGACTGCATCTCAGGGATCGTTCCCAGACCCAACTACACCAGACATGTACAAAGATATTAAAAAAAATCTGAAGTAAGCCTATAAGAAGAGGTACTTGTTGTCTTTGCAGAGAAGCAGACAAAGACGTGAGCAATGCACTTCATATGTCCACTTATTCCACCAGCTATTAATTTAAATTTGCTGCTAAAAAAAAAATATTGAATTAAGAATGTTGGTTAATCACAATTTATTGTGATTAATTGCGATTTATTAAAATTACGATACCTTGTGATTGATCAGATTTAAAAAAAAATCTTTTGACAGTCAACTCAAAATAATATTTCATAGAAAGATTTAACTTATTTCTTCTGTTGTTGCTAATTTTCTATTGCCTTTAATAATTCCTGTTTTGTTTGTTTTCAACTCTGAACCCATAGTTGAACTCCACTCTGACTGCATATTTCATTATATACTGTCTTCCTGTATCGAATACTTCTCTGCCTATCCTGTTTCCTCTCAGAGCTAACCCACGCTCTGTGACCATTCTGCTGTTTGGCTTCTTTTTAATTAGACAGCTGATAATGACATTTATAAAATTAAAAGCAATTTACTTTTCAAGTGGGTCTAAGGGTCGAGAAAGTTTTGGAGTAATTTCTAATTTTTGGAATATAGAATGCTAGAAATAACTAATTAAAAAAACATTAAAGTAGAAAAGATTTTGACAGGCCAACATCTTTTGTGGAAAAGGTTTCTATTAAAATCATTGCTTAATGACCCTGAACAGCATTCAACTGAGAAAAATCATTCACAACACGTGGCAAAAATGCATTACATATTAGTTTGGGGATCTAAAAAACAATTTAAAAGAGTGTATTATTTTAGAGCATAACTGTGATCTGCAAGTAAATAAAAAGAAAAACATAACAAAATATTGGGCTTGTCAGTAGGAATTATTTTTAATTGCTTGACATTTTCTACCGAGGTTTATTTTTCCCCAAGTGCAACAAAGTGTAATCCAGACACTCGACTGTCAGTCATTTTAGGAGGTTGATGGCTCATAGAGAAGCTGTGTGTGAGAAGCAGTCAGTTCTAAAATATCATTCTGCTCTTGATATGTGCAGGTAAACAGAGTGTGTCGACATTTCCTTTCTCACTGGAGTGGCATCACAAACGGAATTATTATCATCCTTAGTTGCACACGATGCCAATAAGCTGCTTTGACAGCCTGTTAGCTAAATCTCTCTGCATAATCACATCCGGCTGATGTGAAGTATGCGACGATGCGGCAGGAACAAATGTGTCCTTATTACACATCACAGAGACAGAGTGTGGTGAACATCCTGCCGCAGTAGACCTGTGTGTGTTAATGCTCTATTATAACAATTGCTGTCCAATCTTTCTGAATGTCCATACTGTAGGACAAATCAAGGATTTATCTTTTTTTTCCCCTTTCATTAAAAGTAAATATTGGCTCCCACTGATTTAGTGCAAATTTCTTTTATTATTATCTGCAGAATAAGGNNATATATATACACACACAGTATGTATGTACAGTATGTAGAGAGAGAGAGAGAAAGAAGCTAGACTACCTGAGCCATGTAAAAAATATACCTTAGGGATGTGTTGAGTTTTATACAGTATATAATTACTTGTATAATATTTCAGCTATTTGGATTAGTCACATAAATAATAAGTATAGGACATCATCTTTCTCATTCAGCAATATACAGTGAATATGTTTAGTCATTTAGGGACTCTTGATATATGTGGATTATTTATGAAATATTTTATATTTATATCAACCTAATACACACATACATATACTTTTATTTAGATTACACTATTTAATTTTTTTGTCTGGTAAATCTTCCCTGAAAATATAATAATATATAATATAATAACATAACATATAAAGTACCCACACAGATGGCTGCAGACTACTACGTATGCAACTTCAGTTCTTAGTGACAGCTTCCTAATACTCTGTCAACTTCATATTGCGTCCATAGATAATCTTTTTAAATGATTCTATCGGTTATCATGAACTGTCACACTAAATTTGCCTCGCTTTTAAAACAAACGCCAACAATACTGTTGATACACTGGAAAGACAGTACAATGATTGGGTAAGGATTTCAGACATAAGTGTGAGCAGAGGATTGCACATCTATAAATATCACTCACCAGAGACAAGCCGATTAGAAAACAACAACTAGTGTTGTAAATTTAGGTTACTGATTTATGAATGAACTGTATGGAAGCAAAACCAGCAGAAAGTCACAGATTCCTGACCTCCACGCACAGAGGTTGTATACAGATGAGCAGAATACCGGTAGGCTGTGAATGTGTTTCAGGTAATGAGGTGAGGTGAGAACAGCTGACAGCTGGTGGGAGGTTTCATGGAGTAAGTGTCTCAGCGTTAGGAAGGAAGGTGATGCTGTTGCTTCTGTTTCATTGTGAATGTGATGTTTATGGAATCTGAATCACAGCAATGGAAAGTCATTTTAAGGTCATTTAAGCAATCAGGCAACAATGGTTTTGTTGTCATCCTTTTACGTCAACAGGGTTATCTTATATTTGATTGTATAGAATGTACTTTTATTATTGAATGGTTTTTTAAGCCTAGAGACAGCACATATATATTCAATAAATGTAAAAACTGACTAAAAATGTTGCTATTTTAATGCGATCTTATCATTGTAAGATCACATTGCAGTGTTGTGTCTATTATGCTTTTTAGAACTCATAATTTATTTTTGAATTAATTGCCATAAAGTTGTTGTTGCTGCATCTGCTTCTGCTTTTATCTTATTTTAGTCTTCTGTCAGACCACCACCAAAAAATCATTTTCTTTATTCACTTTATGCCAAACTCATTATTCCCATAACTACAGTTCTCCTGTGAATTTTATTCTGGAACATCCCTGGACTTATTTGACAAGGATTTGTTCCATAGTGGAGCAGTTAGTGCAACTGCCTTGCAAGGTGAAGAGCAGAGTGTCCTGGGTTTGATTCCCAGAAGAACCACATATTCCTAATGGTGTGTCCTGTGTGGCTGCCTGTCAGTTGCCTCCATGTACGTAATGGCGCCTCCTGTGTTGGTTGCAAAGACTCACACAGTAAATTTCCCCATTTTGGGACAAAAAAGGGACTTTTTTAAAAAAAAAAACACGTCTTTGAACTTAAGGACTTCATCTCATAGAAACAGCAACAGCTCCTCCAAAAGAAATTACAAGTCTGTGTTCACTCATCTCAGTTCCATTCTCAAGCCGCCCGACCTTCTTCCCCAACTTGTACCACATTATCTTCTGTTATTTTCTAATGTCATTTTTCGACAGCAAAATCAATAAAATTCATCAGCATCCTGGCCCACCTTTATTCCTGTGATTCAATCCGTCACGTCACTTGTTCTCTACATTTCAGCTCCACTCTGACTCACAAACTGCTGACCTTATCCACAAATCCAGACCATCTACTAGCTGGCTAAATCCTCTCTTTACTGTCCCACTGAAGCCCTGCCTCCAGGGACATCACTAGGATTGAGATAGGGGGAGGCTGGGCCCCAGAGTGTGTTAGAATGTGCAGGCACAGCACGTGCCAAACAGTTTTCACCACACCTACAAAGACTTT